GGGGGGGGGGGGGGGGGGGGGGGGGGGGGGGGGGGGGGGGGGGGGGGGGGGACTCACATGAGGTGTAGCCCCTCTCCGCCGAGCGCGGGAATTTGATCGCTTTGTGAGGTCTGGTGAGCTCCTCGAAGGTTGCGTCGTTGACGAGCTTCGTCCCCGAAAGGCTTCCACGACCGAGCAGGGTCTGAAGCCAGCGCGTGACATCATTCGCGCTGGGGTGCAGAGTATAGTATTCAGGCATCAGTGATAGTGAATTTAGGTGCATCAAGATGCCAGGGATGAAGATGAAAGTTAGACAAGCCCATCCATTACCATGTAGAAATTCCTCCAGCGGCCACGGTGGGACTCAGGAAGTACTCCTCCTCGTACCCCATAACGTTCCCTTCACGATCGATCGAGCGAGCATGATCCGGCGCATTGGGGATCTTCTCGAAATCCGCAGCAGTGCTAGACATGTTGAGCGGATCCAAGATGCTCGCCTTCAGGGCCTCGGCGTAAGACGCTTTCCCCATTGTCTTCCGCGCGATCTCCCCCGCGAGCGCGTACATGTAGTTCGTGTACTGCCACGTGCCCCGGAACGGCTGCGTGGGCTCCAGGAACTGCAGCCGGGCCAGCGTCTCGTCTGTGGTGTTCCAGAACTCGCCGAGCGATTCGTACATCGGGAGTCCCGTTTGGTGGGTGAGGATGTCGTTCAGATTGGCCTGGGAGGCCGCAACGGAGTCTTTGAAGGATGTGGAGTGGAGGGTCGTCACGGGGGTTGTCCAGGATAGCTTGCCTTGCTCAACGAGCTGGCCGATGAGGAGAGCGGTGAATGCCTGGAGAGTGGGGATGACGAGGTAAGGGCGGTGCGAAAGCGGAAGGGGAATCGGGCACAGGCTGCCCCCCTCTCCTCCCTCATATGCTTGAACACATTATATCGCACACCTTCGACACCGATCCAATCGCGAACAGCGTATCAGCAGTGACCCCTTCACCCTTCTCGTTCCTCTCCCCGAACCCGCGCGCAAGCAGGACCTTGTTGTGACGCACGATGGCGACGCTCACGCCGCGGACGCCCCATTCGCGGCGGAGGGCCTCGATCTCCGCCTCGAGGGCGCGGAGCTTCTCCTCCTCGGTCGGAGGGGTGGAGGGCTTGCTGCTGGCCGTTTGGGGAAGGGAATTCTGCTCGTGGGCCATTTGACGGAAATAATCGCGAAGAAGAGGTGATGAAGTTAGTTGTTGATGTGAGAGCGCAACGGAGCAGTGTTTCGGAGGTTTGGCCGTTTTCGTATTTCAGGTTTTATGCGCAAGCAGTCAGCAAAGGGGGGGAGGGGTGGAGCGAGGGGTAGGAGGAACTTTGCGTTTCAGCATCAGCCAATCATATCGGTCCAATCGTCCGGGGGTCTCGGGGTGGATGGGACCTCCGCGGTCGGACCTCTGACCTCCGTGCGTTTCAGCCAATCATGTTCCGCGTCTCCAAACTAATTTGTTTCATCGCGCCACAGTATAATGAATTCATCATTAAGTCACGATCCACCTCAACCCCTATCCTCCAACCCCACAACCCCTCCATCGGCTAACGGCCCACACTTTCCTCAACGCCATCTACAGTACCCCGGGTTCGAGCCACACTATGCGGCGTGACCGCGATCCTCTGCTCCGCGCCTCGTAATAGCTCCTGTCTGGAACATGATGCGGCCCAGTGGCATCTGGCCTTGAGAGTCTTGGGTTTGCTGGGTGGGAGAGCTGTGATGGCGGGAGGGGAGGTGGCGAGTGGGGCGATATCAGGTTGAGATGCACATCGAATGTTTCTTTGATTTGAAATGCCCTTCGGCCTCAAACATCCCGAACTTCACAGTCCCTGACCTCCCACCGCACTCCCCCACCTCACAAGTGTCAGTTGGCACTCAAGAAGCGCACGCAGTTCATGTGAGCATGCTGACAAGATGAGATCAAAGTGAGTAGTATTTTTCTCAAAATAACTGAGAAAAAAAGAGTTAGAACCCCCATAGGATTGAGCGAAGGTAAAACCAATCATGGCAGAATACAGTTGACACTGACGATCGTAACTTGGATGCGCCGAAGAACATCTTGACATGGGAACGCTCTCGTCTCGCCCGACAAGGAGACGAACTCAACCCTATCCGCTCTCGATAAGGTCGGGCACGTTGGTTACCGAGATGTGTGGTCGAAGAAATCTCGACGTTGATCCATGTCTGCGATTCGTCTTGCGGTCTGCATCGTTTTGCGGTCGCAAGGGTCGCCTTTGTCGACCTCTGGGGTGACAAATTGAATATCCACCAAGGAAATATCGATATGTGGATTGGGGGGGGGGGTGCAGAATCGACTTTCACCGGTCTGGTTTTCTTTGGACTACCTCGCTCGCGCTCTCTAGCCTCATTCCAATCTAGTCCTGTTCTTCTTGGACGAGAGCCTCCTCTTGCGTTAACGGGACAGGAGCATTTGTGGAAGGTCGTCTGAACATGTTTCTTTTCGGACCTTGACAAACTCCCATGATTCCGCCTCCCTTCCGCTCCCACCCGCCCTCCCTCCCCTCCTCCGAGTTCCTCTTCGCCTTGGCCTCTGAGTTCGAATGGGGAGAGTTGGTAATCGGTAGTGGCCTGGATTGTTAAATCACAAGATATGGGCTACGTCCAGACGGGAGGACTCAGTCTCGTCGGCAAGAAGCGATAAGATGCGCAATTTACGTGGCTGGAGGAAAAAAAGGTCTGGCAAACGAGAAAGGACAACAAAACAACTTGAGCATGAGAAGGCGTGGACCCAGGACTCAGTCTCTCATCTTCGCCAAAGCAGTCGCCCTCGGACAGACGCACGTTTTGTTTTTCGAAGAAAGAAATGATCCCGGAGAGGAAGGTGTTGGTGTTTCTCGGCGTTGGGAAGGTTTGGCGATGAATTGAAGCTTTGAGGAACCGCGCCGTTTATTATTCGCTGCCACGAACGATGGTGTTCGTGCCACGAATATATACCGTGCCAGGAGTCAAGGCCAAACAAACGGATCAAAAATCTTGAAAAGTCCAGTGGTTAGGATAGGGCCTCTCACACACTCAGCCGGGGGTTGATTCCCCGTTGGGGAATAGTTGCCTAGCCATGTCCAGCTGTTATACCCTTTGTTTAACCAAGCAAGCTCGTGTCCTGATGAAGATGTCTCCAACCCGCCTTCAATGACCTCCTTGCCGATCGTATCCACGACTCAATTCCCGGACGTGATTCGTGTTAATCAAGTGCCAAAAAAGAAGAAAAAAGAAACAAGGAAGCTGCACGTCGGCGAATCCCACTTTCCCAAGGGGCGTGGAGCTCTTTTCCTGTCCTTCACTACCTCGCCCCGAGGTTGAAAGCCAGCATCGGGCGACGCGCCGTCAGCAGACCGAAGAATCCGGCAACGCCTCGCGAAGCCAAACGTCGGCGAGAGCTTTACAAAAAGAAAAAACATTTGCAAGGAGTAATTAGAGAAACGGGGGAGTGGCGTACACATCGTATCGGATATGGGATCGAAGCTCATCGCTCCCCCCCCCCCCCCCCCCCCCCCCCCCCCCCCCCCCCCCCCCCCCCGACCCCC